GGGGGGCGGGGGACGGGGAAGGGAGGAGCTTAAAGTATAGGTCTAAAGTTATGGAACTTGATGGGGGCCGAAGAATGTACTATTTTTAAGTAATGTGGTATTGTACCACAAAGTAGATCTAAATAAGCTTTATGCTGTATTTGAACTAACTGGGGCATGTTACTGGGAGGAGGTTGGGGGGATTTTTGGTTATGTTAAATGTTTGATGTTTAAATTGTTGCATGTTGAATTCAAACTTTTTAACAAGTCCTTGATGTTTCAATTTGAAAGTGACCAATGGGGCTGAGGCTGTGTCCACTGAGGCTAAGATGACTGCCTTTCCTGATTGGCCTTGGCTTTTCCATACATTGTGTGACCCTTGCCCTATGACCCTTTGGCTGACCTTACCGGAAGCCATGACGACAGCAGCCTTTTGCCATTAGACGCAGGGTGATGGTGAGGATTCCAAGGGTTAGACAAAACTGGTTAATCTGAACTAGGTGACTGTTACCTTGCGTGTTTTGTGGCCAAACCACCACCAAAAACCTCACACTGTGATGTAAGTACTTAGTGTAAAACTAGTAAACATTTTTGTAAAATGTAGAAATGCATGTAATCAGTTAAGTTTTATATTTTACAATGTTCTGTAAAATAAAACTTAGCGAGGTAAATCGAATAAAGGAGCAGTCACTCTCTAACAGATTGTAGGAGAGGTTTAGTTGGATTTAGTCTATTTGACTTGCCCTTAATTTAATTTTATGGCAAATCACAAATGTGTCGAAGGTTTAGCAATATAATAGCAAAGTCCTACTCCAGTAAATAAAAGTTGATATGTTTGTACTAACTTTCAAAGACATTATGCGTTTTTATCATTACAAGGCATCTAATTGTTCCCTTCATGTGATAAAGGTGGTGGAGGTGGATACAGCAGTCGGAGAACATCTGGCAGAGACAAATACGGACCACCTGTTCGTACAGAATACAGGCTTATTGTAGAAAATCTTTCTAGTCGGTGCAGTTGGCAAGATTTAAAGGTATGTGCTGTAATTCAAGATACAAAGGATACGACTAATGCTTTAAAGTAAACTCTTTTTACATTCTTATTTCTGGGAATTTATTATAGTATATAGATATTTTAAGATTTCCGAGTCTGACGAGTCTTATCATTTCAGGATTTTATGCGACAAGCAGGTGAAGTAACCTATGCGGATGCCCACAAGGAACGAACAAATGAGGGTGTAATTGAGTTTCGCTCCTACTCTGACATGAAGCGTGCTTTGGACAAACTGGATGGCACAGAAATAAATGGCAGAAATATTAGGCTTATTGAAGATAAGCCACGCACAAGCCATAGGCGATCTTACTCTGGAAGCAGATCCAGGTAACTTGTTGAAGGACACTGTGGGGAGGAAACAGAATATTTGACAATAAAAAAGGGAAGTAATAGAGTAATTTCAATTGTTGCCTACTTGAATTAAAGCCAGCTTTTAGTTTGTTTTGGCTGTGCATCGTTGGGTTTTTTTCTGGATGTTTTGAACGTGTATTTAATTTTGTAGTGAAGAAAAACATTATTCTTTGGCTTATCTATTTTTGCCAGATGGCACAGATGTATTTAAGATGGATTGAGATTAAGACTTCATTGTTTTTCTCTTAATAGGTCTCGATCTAGAAGACGGTCACGAAGTAGGAGTCGCAGGAGCAGCCGCAGTAGATCTCGAAGTATCTCAAAAAGTCGCTCCCGGTAAATAATGTTGTTGAGTCATTGTGAATATTACTGTACTTGTTTATGGAGTACGTGTATGTTCTTACAAAGTATTGAGAGAATCGGTCTTTCCTTGTCCAGTTCCAGGTCGCGGAGCAAAGGTCGATCACGTTCTCGATCAAAAGGCAGGAAATCTAGATCAAAGAGCAAATCTAAGCCCAAGTCTGATCGGGGCTCCCATTCACATTCTCGAAGCAGATCTAAGGATGAGTATGAGAAATCTCGAAGCAGGTCTCGGTCCCGATCCCCCAAAGAAAATGGAAAGGGTGATATAAAGTCAAAATCCAGATCAAGGAGCCAGTCCCATTCCAATTCGCCGCTACCTGTTCCACCCTCAAAGGCCCGTTCTGTGTCCCCTCCACCAAAAAGAGCTTCAAGATCCCGTTCTAGGTCTCGTTCAAAGTCAAGATCAAGGTCCAGGTCGAGTTCCAGAGATTAACTCAGAACTCTCTTGTTCTTTGCACACTATTATGGAACACTTTCCTATTTAGGCAGTTGCTCTTTCATGTTTATACTTGGCCTCTTCTGCAAGAGCAATCTCCTGAAAACAGGGGCACACAGAAATTTGATTTGTGGCCAAATTTGATGAAAAAGAGGAGGCTCTAAGGAAATGGTGGCATGAAGTCAGACACCCTGTCCCTTCTTTGTAGAATTAAGATAACTTTGATTTTATAGCTTTTGAGCTAAAATAACTTTTGTAAAGAGTAAGCTCATTTAGTTGTTTTTTTTTCTTTTTTTTTTTTTAAGTATTTCAGCAGGATCTGCTGGCAGGGTTTTTTTGTTTTATTTGTTTGCTTATTTTTAAATTAACTGTTTCAAGCTTTGAATACTTAAGACTTTAGAGGGAGAACCCAATTTTCAATTATGTTGGCTTTTTATAAAGCTTGAGTTATGTAAGATTTAAATAAAACTTTGCTACCAAGATGATTGCCTTATTGAATAGGTCACTATTAAATTCCTTTAAATGTTGGTATCTGCCATTTGTGGAAACATGTAAATTCTACTCAAGTGTAAACAAGGCAAGCCTCAGATCAGCAATAAATTATTCAGTTTGGATAACATTATTTTGTGCTGTTAATCAAATTTGCCAAAGTCTTTATCTGCCCCTTTAACAAGTTGAGTAAAAATAAAAGGTATTTTTTAGTCAATCTGTTCCATGATTTTGCTTAAATTAATTTTAAGTAATGGAACTTTTTTCAAAGACAAATTTAAACTCTAAGAAATAACTCCTAATACTTGGGATCTTGTTTAGATAATCCAGTTTCTGGAAGTTGTCAGCGTAATTAGTGTTAGAGAGTGGTTTAGTTGTCTTTAATGTTTGTCATGTGGAAATGGAAGTAGCCTCTTTTTGATCTGAACTTGAGTTTATTCAAAGTGTAAAAGCACATACTGCATTTTATGCTGAAAGATAATTATGTTTAACAGGCACTTAATCTCAGTAAAGTCTGTTGCCAGTTAAGTTCCACCCAGTAGTCCCCTTCGTAGTTAGTGGGGATTATGTGATAATTGGTTAGATCATACTTGTAAATTTTAATGCATTGTGTAATTGCTTTGAAAAACAGTGAAATGGGTAAGCCCAAACTTTTGTACTTTATTACGAGTGAGGTGTAATGAGTACTGTGGAAACCAAATTTGAATACTGCAAATTTGTACGAGTTACTAGGTTAGCAATTAGTCCATACATCCGTAAGCCTGATGAGTTGAAATTGCAGTTGGAGAAGTGAATTAACCTTACATTCCTTTTTAAGATACTTAATTATATAAAGTAATTTTATTTAAAAGCATTTATTGATCTTAGTCTGAAATCAAAATATAGATTAATTGGCTTAGCTTTAATACCTTTCCAGGAGCTGTCACAATGTAGGGTACCAAGGGTTGGATTGTGATGGGGCATGGTCGTACAACACTCATTGTGCCACAGGTGTGCCTGGAAAGCATGATATTCTAGGGTTGGTTTTTAGGTTCAAATAATCCAGAAATATGCCTAATAAGATAGAGTTGAAAAACTTGAGTCAAATATCTAGGGCATTCACAGAGTGGCTGTGAGTTCTTGGTAGTGTGAAAAAAACCTGTTTTTCAGAAATTCTGGGTTTCCTGTTAAAAAATCTTAAAGCCCAACCTTAGGAATATAGTGCCCCAAAAGGCGGATGCTTCTTCCATTATCTTATTTTCTTTGATACTTAATTAGATGTTTATAAAGAAATTGGTTTATTTTTCCAGTATAAATCTCAGAATTTAAGGAAAGAAAGTGGTGTGTGTTACTGTAGTTCATTGTTTTGCCTACTCAGCAGAAGTGATGACTCTTAAAAATTGGCTTTGACCAAAGTTCGCTTGTTTTCAGGGAAAGAACATAAAAGCTTTTTGAACCACAGCCTTTTTAAAAGAGGGGTGGGAGGATATTATAGTAAGAAATTTGGCTTTCTAAAAATATGAAACATCCTTCAACTGGGCTTTCTTGTTAATAGGACATCATATGATAATAGACTGGTTTGACTACATTGTTAGCTGCCCCAGTAAGCAGGTCATTGTATAGGTAAATGCCTGCATCCATAATTTTCTAGTAATAGCCACAACCAATTTATTAATAGTCAGGGCCTATCCTTGCCTGTAGTTCTAAGTCACTGGATGCATGAAACCACTGTGTAACATTGGCTCGCTTGATGAGCATAGGGTTGACTGATAAAATGTTTAGTTCCCTTGCTAACTTGTGAGGAGAATGAGTTCACGACATGCTCCATACCAGTGGCTAGATAGAGTATTAAGGTGGAGCAGAAGAGAAGTGAAAACATCTTGATTCCCCTTTCTTTCACTTGATGGTGTTTATGAACATGCCGTAGTGCCTTTATGGCCAGTTTTGAGTCCTGCCTACTTTGACTTTTACGTTCCCATTCCTGTGTTACCACCTTCCTCCCGATTTGTTAACCTATTTTGTGCTTTAAATCTCAATAAAATACTTACTGAGGGAAAGACTTGTTTTGAGTTTATTGCATATGACCACTTAGGACCAGATTCTTAACAAATGGTTTTTTGAATTGGAGTTGGCATTGGGAAGCCATTCCTATCTTGAGTATGAGAACAGGATCTTGTTTTCACTTCCCCAGAAACGTGAGTTTGGGGTTTAGTATATGGTTTATCTTGGGCAAGTCATTAATCACTGTGCTTCAGTGTCGTGCTTGAAACAATAGGGATAAAACATGGCATGGGATGTGAAGACTAAAAGTCAAGAATATGAACAGTACAAGAGAGTACCATAACAAATACAATTTTATTTACAAATATACATGGTTAGACCATACCTTGGAATCTGCCTATTAATGCAGCTACTGTTGACAGTACTTGTATCTGCTCAGAGATTTCTATGGTTATATAAAAATGACCTTTTAAGTTTTCAGTGTTCATGCCCTGAGTCTGCAGTTTGTTTTAATATATGCTAATACAGAGATCAGCTTAAAATGGCTGGCTGGTTACTGTTGAATGAATGTATGATAAATTTTTTTTCAGAACCAACAGTATGAATAATCCTTTGACTTGTGTATCAGCATGAATTTAAAAATTACTTTCAGGATTCAACATTTAGAGTTCTTGGAATAGAGTACCTAGTGTAGTAATTACCAATTTATATGCTAATCTTTAAGTTTCCTCAGTGACCACATTTTGAATATATTAGTATCCCGAACGTGTATGCATCTATTTACTGAAAGTCAGTGCAATTGTGCAGTTGGTCTTCCTAGATCCTAAATAGTTTGTTTACATATGCCTTGTTATCTTAGAGCAATCCTGCAGATGGCCCCCAGTATAGCACTTAACACAGTCATTAACTTTTTATAGCTTTTGAATAGAAAGGAATCATGGTTCAAAAATTGGAAGAGTGGGTGCGGTGGCTCATGCCTGTAATCCCAGCACTTTGGGAGGCCAAGACAGGAGGATCACCTGAGCTCAGGAGTTCGAGACCAGCCTGGCCAACATGCTGAAACCTTGTTTCCACCGAAAATACAAAAATTAGCCAGGCATGGTGGTGCATGCCTGCAGTCCTACTACTGGGAGACTGAGAGACGGGCAGGAGAATCGCTTGAACCCGGGAGGCGGAGGTTGCAGTTAGCCAAGATCACACCATGGCACTCCAGCCTGGGCAACAGAGTGAAACCCTGTCTGAAAAAAAATAAAATTTTAAAAATGTGTTTTCTAGGAACAGGAGTATTATCTTCTACAGAATTATCAAAATCAGGAAATTAATGTTGATAAAATACTGTTGTCTGATACACAGTTCATACTGAAATTTCATCAGTTGTCCCATAATGTCCCTTAACGTTTTTCCTCTTGATCCAAGATTCATTGGTGGCATTTTGTTGTCATGGCTCTTGAGTCTGTTAATTTCTAATGTATCCTCAGGCTTTTTCTTCATCTTTTTAAGAAGTAGTTAATATAGGCTCCAGTTATCCCCCTCTCAAAATTATTTTTTAAAATGACTTTATAGTGATCCAGGTTATTAAGATGGATCACTGGACATATATATCGAGGACAGAGTCTCATTCTTGTGATATTCCTGCCCAAAATGCTGTCATGTAGAAACGAGACAAATCCAAGATGAGGGGAAAACCTACAAAATAAACTTTTTTTTTTCTGAGGCAGAGTTTGACTCTTGTTACCCAGGCTGGAGAGCAATGGTGCGATCTCAGCTCGCCGCAGCCTCTATCTCCTGGCTTCAAGCTATTCATCTGCCTCAACAACCTGAGTAGCTAGGATGACAGGCATGTGCCACCACGCCCGGCTAATTTTCAATTTTTTTAGTAGAGACAGGGTTTCTCCATGTTGATCAGGCTGGTCTCGTACTCCCAACCTCAGGTGATCCGCCCGCCTTAGCGTCCCAAAATGCTGGGACTACAGGTGTGAGCCACCTCGCCTGGCCGCCTACCGTAAAGGAATTGCTTTGGAGGGGTGGCGGGGTCCGTGTACACTATATGGGTTTTCTCGGCTCACTGCAAGCTCCACTTCCCGGGTTTACGCCATTCTCCTGCCTCAGCCTCCCGAGTAGCTGGGACTACAGGCGCCCGCCACCTCGCCTGGCTAGTTTTTTGTATTTTTTAG